CTAGAGACTACCGTCAAAAGAGTTAACTAAAGCCTAAAAAGTTTGCCAATTTCCCAATTAACAATTAATTGTATATATATATGCACATAATTGGATGGTATAGTTTAGTTAAGTATTAAGTTGTAATTTATAATAAATAATTAGTGCTGAAATAAATTTCTTCAGAAAAAAAAATCCAAAAAATATTTTAACACACACGTCAGGTATCAATATTCTTTTTTCTCTACAAGACTTACGAATGCTTGCCAACAGACCATTCGGCGCACAGAATTACGAGGATCCATTCCTGTGCTCTACCCCCAACACCTTTGGAAATGCTTATTTGGTGAATCTGACAGTAAAATAAGTGGTCTTAGTATGTTATGTTGCGAAAAAAGAAAGAAGGATGAAAAGGTCTCAACGTGACAATAAAAGACTGCGATTTTCAGTTTAAAAACGATTAATTCTGTTACATTCTCGCCTTCAACTTCAACACTCTTGATCGTTTCTCCGACAATAGGATTCCTTCTGAAAAGTCTGGAAAGCTGTCAAAATATGCATATCCGGCTAAAAAGAATAAAAGAATAAGAATAGATGAGTCTGAGGGTGCCAAATCAAGAAGATATGACGAATTAGACACCAAATTATTTTTTTTATACCGAACCAGATGAGTGGGCAGAACCTAGTACCAGGGCAACGCAGCTGCTATAAGCAACTTAAAGACATTTGAAGAAAGCTTCGTATGATAGAGCAACATAATTCGATAGTATAGTTTAGTTAAGTATTTATGATAACTAGTTAGTGTTTAAATAAATTTCTTCACTAAAAAAATATTTTGTGCCAAAACCTTTAGGACATTCGTTGCCCCTCGTATATGGCGTATGATCGCAATGGCTCTATTCGAAGCTACCCGAGAATGGCTGGTCTATCCGTCAAGATAGAGCCTGGTGTTTTTTTGCGACGATCAGCATGCGTTGATGTATTTATCATGTAGGCAGAAAATTTTAAATATAACCCCTGTAATCAGATATAGGGTGTGCGCGAGGTAAAAAATGACGCCGACATTCCGCCGATCTAATGGCGGAGAAAATGATAAAAGTTGTGGGAAATTTGTAAAAAGTACGCGCTGAAAAACGCTTATAAATCGACTTCATCGGCTGTGTCAGTCCGCAATAATGCTTCCTCTTTAAGAAGAATTTCCAGCTAAATCTTCGGTTCTTGTTACTTTCCCCATTTTACTTCACGCGCATCAGCAGGGGAAGTATTAGAAACACAAAAAAACCGGCGTCAAGTAGGTCGACTCTGCACTTCCCACGCAACGCTATAACGTGTATAACAAATGAATCAATTGAGAAAATCGAGCCAATCGAAGATGCTAACAAAAAGTTTCTAGCCATAAGAGACTGTCAAATACACTAATCCAATGAAATTCTTTATTTGATGCTACCTAGATTTGCGCTGAACTGATCTGGTCCACTGTGGATGACTGTTCTGGCCTACGAGGGTGGACCAAAGAGTTTTCGATCTAACAACGATACAAGACATTTTTTCTGAAATTTATTTTTATCTTTCAGCATTACTTGTAACTCTACACACGTCTCCCAGCGATGCTCCCATCTCTGAAACCCGGCCAAATAATACTCGGCGTTTTTCTCGGCAAAATAATTGTTCACGAAGGTGATTGCCGAAAATCTGTCCTTCGAGCAATTCGTGGATTTTTGCCATGGCAAGCGCTAATGTTGCCAGGTGCAAAAAATTACCGTGGTTGAAAATATATAAATATTTCTACAGACAAAAGTCCTCTTCCACCCACTCTTATAATAATAATAATAATAATAATAATAATAATGTATTAGTCCTGTATGATCACAGTTGTGATATAGGATAAGTCAGTCAGAGCACTACAAAAGCTAATAACAAATCATGTTAGTGTGGACGCACACATATTCGTACCACATATGGCATATTCCAAATATGGATACAGATAAATCAAATTAGCTTATTGATAAAATTTATAAATATAAATCATATATGTATATATAAAAAAGCGAAATAAAGGACAAACCATTAAGTGACATTCAAACAACAATAATCAAACTCAAACAAGACATTCACACATTAAAAATTCCTCAATAGAGTAAAAAGCTTTCTCCAGTAAAAACTGTTTGACTGTTCTTTTAAAAGTGTTCAGTGGTTGTGATTTCAAATTGTTGGGGAGTCTGTTAAAAAACTTAATAGCCATGTATCTAGGGCTCTCCTCCGTTCTCGCCAATCTATGCGACGGCACCTCCAATACTTGACTGTTCCTTGTAAAGTAAGCACCAGTGCTTACAGAATTGAACTTGCTCAATTGTGTTTTAGCAAGGATAAGTATATTGACTACATATACAGATGGTAAGGTTAAAATCTTTAATGTTCTAAATGAATCCTTGCAGCTAGTCAGCCTTCCAATTTTAGCTATTACTCGAACAGCCTTTTTTGCAACACAAAAAGTCTTTGCAGCTGGGACGATGCTCCCCATGCTTCTATTCTATAAATTAGGACTGAATGGATATGTGCATGGTAAAATATCAGTAATATCCACTTCTCCACAACAAAACTTAACTGGTACAGACAGCAACAGAGTGGGGCGATCTTTTGGCTACTTTTCTCAATATGCGTATCCCATCTACAATTTTGAGATATATATATCCCTAAAAATTTAGTCGCATTCACTTGTTTTATTGATTTGCCAAACGATTTTATTAATGAAGTGTGATCCATCGGTGAGGTGGAAAGGTTAAATCTAAGGAAAACAGATTTCTGATTATTTAAGACGAGCCCATTATTGCTGAACCACTTACCTGCACCAGTCAAACTTGAATTGGCAAGTCCTTCAACATATTCTAGGTTTTTACCATTAACAAGTAAAGAAGTGTTATCAGCATACATTACCGAGCAGTCGGAGGGGATGTCATTGACGTACATTATGTGTAAGAGAGGACCAAGTATGGAACCCTGTGGAACACCAGTATGGTAGAAATGTTGGCTGGACTGTGCATTGTACCTCGACATGATGCTTTCTATCCGACAAATAGCTATGGAACCAGTCAAATGGCTTCCCTCTGATTCCATATCTATCCATTTTATCTAGCAGAATACCATGGTCAACCAATTCAAAAGCTTTGCTTAAATCAACAAATATACCTATGCATTTTTCTCCTTTATCCTTCTTGAGATATAAATCATCTAGGAAACGAAGTACGGCATTTTTGGTTGACATGCCTTTTCTAAATCCAAACTGATTACTATTAAATAATTTAAATCTGTCAAAGAAATTGATGAGTTGCAGAGAGACATATTTCTCTAACACCTTCGAGAAGGGACCCTTTAAAAAATTTCAAAAATACACATTCCTAAAACGTCAAAAAACAACTTTTTTTCATTTTTTGACCTAGCTCCACCGCCACTGGATCTATTTTCAGAAACTACAAAACTTTTCCATCCTTGGCATCGAGGACAAGCAGACCAACAGACCGACTGACTGACAGACCGACGAAAATGTATGATATAACGTCCAAAAGACATATCATTTTCAGATTTTTTTTTCGAAGTCACAGGCAGCAGCGGTGGCCGCAGTAGTAGACTCTTCGGTCTTCTGATCAGTCGCCGTGCGCTGTGCGGGTTCGAGTCCCGTCCCAGGAGAATTTTTTCTCTTGACTATGGATGTTGTGATTGTCCGTAGGTGGTAGACGGTCTCTCACTGTCGAACGTGGAGGTACCACCCAGCGGAGCCAGAATCTGTGCATGTTGCATGCACACGTGTTCCCTCGCCAGAGTCCGTGTGGCGTTCCCCCTTTCCCCTGTATCCCCCTATAGCCCCACGGTACCCAATGGGTGTTTAGGCCTTAGGCCTTCGTGGTAGTTGGAGTATATAAAAAAAAAATCCTCACCAGTGGCGTAGAAAGTGGGACCCGGTAATCAAAAAAATGTTTCACCACCAAAAAGTAACCTAATAGTTGAAGTGTCTTATCCAAATATCGGAAGCGCTTCTTTAATTTTGGAGCCTCTTTTGTAACGGCAATGTCTTTTCTAGCAAGCGTCAAAATGTTATGATATTTAAATATAAGGTTCTGAGTTTATGTAAGAGATAAAATGATTTAAGGTATTCTACGCCATAGTTCTCGAAACTAGCAGAGAGATTTTTTGAAGAGGTTGGTAGCTTTATGACTAACCTTGCTCTGAGCCCATCATATTAACACTACCATATTATGACCGACTGATGCAGTTCATTTAATACATGTACCATAAATCATTATCCACTTAATCTCAGTACTGTCGATACTATTGTGATATAGTCTGTAATGGTAGAAAACTTTTCTGAAGCCATTTAAGCCAGATTGGGCTGAGGTCGGTATCTTTAAGGCTACCCTAGCACTGAACTCATCTATCTTGACCTGTTTAATCTCAGTGCTGTCGCTTCTAATCATCGAAATCTTTTTTGTATCCAATTAATTGAGCTTTGACAGAGACCCATATTTTTAAGGCTATCCTAAAGACTGAGCTTATCACGATAATGCTAACAAAGAATGGAAAATATGGCATATTTAAGCTCAGTGCTGCTAATACTCATGCACTCTATTTCCTGATCACCGAAAGCTTTTTGTTGATACCAATTTAAAAAGCTTTGACAAAGGTCGGAACTGTGTTTATCAGAATAAGGCTAACAAGAAAGACAAATTGTGACCTATTTAAGTTCGGCGCTGTTACTACTAATCATAGTACTGCGAAAAAAGAAAGGGTCATGAGCTTCAAACTTAGTATATCAAATAGCACAGTAGTACAGTTCATATTGACTGAGGGAGCATTGGTTCCATTTTAAGGCAGAAATGGAATAATCATGACCTATTTAAGCTGAGAGTTGTTGGTACTAATGCGCTGCAAGAGCCAGAGTCAGAACTAGTGGTACCACGTGAGATATCCCGTTGAAATAAAGGCCGAATGCCGTCTCTGGGTATGTGTGGCATCACTGCTGCGGGTACCAGCAAATCAACCACGGCACTAGTGGTACTCACATACATACACACAGTTAGTGAGTGATATCAACAAGAACAAGAAGCAATTAGTGGTGTGAGCGTATCGTGTCGTGAACGTCGAACGGTACATCTTTCACCCGTATATTCCGTATTGCACAGTCAACAACGCATATGAATGAACGGGGCCCTGACGCTATGCCTTTACCTTTGCCGCTCTGTTAGTCTAGTGCCGTCGAAAAATGCGGTGCGGGTGTGCTATACTAGTGCTCCTCATGGTAGCTGGAGTGAGGGCTCAAGATGATTCTTTAGCTGGAAGCTTCCTTTCAGGTAGTACTTTTGTTGACACTTTCACTGCGCATGCCTAACGACCGATTTATAACCTCAAAACTTTTTTACATGCCGGCGAGCTTTACACTATGGAGGAACCCTTACCGTAATTGGGAACTGCTAGTATTATCGTATTGAAAGGCTTCTACCTAATACAGGGATGCATACTGTACTTTTATCCATAGAACCGCCGAGAGTTATGTAATTTATCGGTAATTCTTAGCGATATTGTAATTTTGAAATATCGCTTATTATGGCAAGGTTTGATCTGGAAGGTTAGATCACCGTTACTTTTTCAGTACGCGCATACGCGATACTGAACCCTTGATGTATTTGATGACACTTTCACTGCGCATGTCTAACGATCTATAATCTTATAACATTTTTACATGACTGCGAGCCTTACATTATGGAGGACAAATTACAGTATTTTTACAGTAGTGTTACAATAATATACAAAGATCAATGGATGTTTTGGTGAGGCGTAAAGGACCTGGAATATATTACAGTATTTTCCGGTAGAATTTTCGTTATTTAGGCAATGTACAATCAGCATAATTGTTGTGATTGATCGGGAGCAGTATCAATTGAATTACATTGAGTTTAACGAGCTAGTTTAATTTTTCTGTGGAGTTGCCCTGATTTTAGTGATACATCAACGTATATATTGACTACTCTAAGGCTTTTGATATCATGAGCTGTTACTTATGGAACTTAGTTATGAGCAGTATCTTTTGTTGAAAATTATCTTCACGGCCGAACTCAATGTGTTTTATTAAACCAAAGATTGTCCTCAACAGCACTGATACCTTCTGGTGTGCCTCAAGGCTCTATATTAGGACCTATACTATTATTAATTTATTTATTTATCAACGAGCGACTGCCCAATTAAAGTACAGCTTAGAACATCTAATGTAAACCTAACCCTACTGTGACTTAGATATTTAACACTTAAAAGAATCACAAACACTTTACAGTCCAGATCATTTCTAAATTGAAACGAATTTAAGTAAAATTTAAATATATAAGGAAATCAAATATTAAATATTACAGACAGGAATCTAATCGAATTTTGAATATTTTCACATTTCTGAAGAAATCCAACTCATTAGAATACTGATTTATTAACCTTGAAGATCTAGGCAGGAAGGAATTACTAGCATAATTAGAACGAAATGATCTCACATGGAATGGTTGATTCAGTCTTGTTTAATGAGAAGGCACATGGAGATTAATATTTTTCATAAGTTCTGGAGCAAAACTACGAGAGTGCAAAATATTATAAAATAGTGACAGGTCTCACCGATTCGGTTTTACCTGAAGGGTTGAGATATTGAGAGAGCTTTCAATGACGGAATAGACAATATCTTCAACCATAATGTTTTGTTTGAATAAAATGAATCTTAAGAATGTATGTTGCACTCTCCCAATTGCCTGAATATGAACATTATAGTTGGGTGACCAAACACAAGAACAATACTCCAAATAGGGCCTCACCAAAGAACAAAACAATGTTTTAAATGACTGAATATTATGAAAATCCTTAGCAGATTTAACTAAAACTATTAACAACTCCCTTATTCAGTCATTTGCAGATGATACTCAGTTAATGCATAGTTGTAATTCAAATGAGCTGGCAAGAACAACAAAAATTTTCCAAAACGATATTAAAAATTTGATACAATCTCAAAATAGATCCAGAAAAATCCAAAATATTATTGTTCTGTAATGACAAAAAGAAAAATGCTGCTTCTTCTCGCTTAAAGATTTCTATATATATATATATACTATATAATCAAGTTTGTTGAGGTCTGCAAGACTACTTGGAGTATTTGACACAAAAATGAAATTTATTAAAAATGTGACGAGTCTGTCCCAAAAAACATATCTCAGATTACGTATTCTTATAGCAAATCGATATTTACTGAATTTTACACAATGCGAGTCTAGTCATATCTGTGCTAAATTACTGTAATATTGTCTATTTTCCGAGATTAGACTGCTTTAAAAAAACATTATCCAAATCATTCAAAATAATTGCGTACGGTTCATTTTTGGATTACGAAAGTTTGATCATGTTTTAGCCAATTACCAAATATTGAAGTGGATGAAGTTTGAGAATTTAGTTAACTATTACTACTCAATTTTCATACATAAATTGTTGCATACGTCAAAGCCTTTATACCTCAGAGAAAAAATTGTTTTTATTAAGTTCCACCACACAAGACATCGTTATTTAAACGAAGTTGTTCGTATAATTTAGCTATCAGGTAAAATTCAATAAATGAAATGTATAAATCATATTTTTTGTCTACATTCTGCAACAAAATTAAACTTTATAAATTCACTATCCACTTAATCTTATCATTTGCCCTTTTTTTTTCCTTAAGATAGGACATAAATTTCTGTATGGTGTTGATTAAGTGTAAACTTCGCCAATCAGTTAGTGTATTTCCAAATAAAGACGACTATTATTATTATTATTATTATTATTATTATTATTATTATTATTATTGTTATCATTATTATTACTAACTCCTAGGAAACATTGTCGACAAGTGGGGAGGATATATTTTCCGTAAAATTACCGTCATTTTGATGATTTTGAAACTGACTGTTATCAAAACAGATAATGCTGTTTGATACATTTACTTTCGGGATTTTTCCCTATTTATCCTGTGCTAACTTTAAATTTTCAAGTATTGGATGAGCATGTTATTATTTCCTTGGCAACATAATTGCATATCAAAACTAACCTACTAAATGATAATTGTAAATGCCCACTGAGGAGATGTATATACAGTTGTGGTAATGTGACAGAACACCCTTCTGAGGAGAACCGGTGTCAAAAAATGGTGTCAAGTAGCTTGACTCTGCACTTTCCATGCACCACCGTCACCAGTTCATAAATCATTATGTTCAGCACAAGTTAAACCCTATCAAAATAGGACAGTATAGACCTGGATATATATGGATATATCCTGGATGGAGGATAGTTGCTAAGCTTCCGTTCGTCGCCACAGAGACCAACCCAGACCATGCTGATGCGTTACCAAAAAAGCACGAAACAGCTGTCTTTGATTGAACATGTCCGTACAATTACATAGCACCGTACATCTGGCCATGTCGCATCACCTCACCCCGATGCCAAAAAGCATGGTGCCTCAAACGCGACAAAGCGTCCATAGAGCACTAGTCATGCAGGACATATACGAACACCGGCATGCCAGCCGCTTGGCGAAAACATGCTGCTATCCTTTCTAAGTTTTGAGGGCATGAAAAATTGCGATACACTCTCCTTCATCCCAATGCAACCCCTCATGCCCCAATTCTTTTCCTTAATTTTTTTTATATGATCAAGGTCCAGGTCAAAAATCAAAGTATAAGATTATTGGAATTTTTCTTTGCCGTTACTGAATCGACTCATAAACTGCAAAGCTTTTTCGTTCTCGGTATAGTAGTAGCCTTCTGTGAAAATTTCATCAAAATTCGACTGGTACTTTCTAGGTTATAGACGGGCCTAGGATTAAATGGATAGACAGACAGACAAACAGACCGACGGAAATGAGAGACATGGTTTTTCGTGATGTGCTTACATGTAACATCAAAAAAACATAACATAACATGTCATTTCCGAAATTTTCGGCGATTACAATGGCAAGACATTATGCTTCTTGTGTTGCTGAAATCAGAACCATTTCACGACAGGTTCTTATAATGTCTGGGTTGTAACCATTTGTCAACATCAGCTTCTGGTTGCTAATCCTACAATTTTTAAGAACACTAAAAAAATATCGAGATTGTGTCTACAAAACGCGCTTAAACTCCCCTCTTAATACTCATTGGTACTACCGCTGTCGCGTCATACAGTCCCGCCGCTGTATTTACGCACTTCAACGGTACTCCTATCATTTACTGTTAGGAGCACCAATTTGACACTGTGCGATATGCGGATCCATCGTCTGATTGTTTTTATGGGTACAACCCAATCAGAGGTATCCATTCGGTACCACCTTTTTATGTCATAAGAGCGAAAGCGATTTTTAGTATGTACACGCCATTCAATTAACTATGCTACTGAAGGATGGAGTCAAGTGGATTGACTCAGTACTTCACACTCAACGATATGAATCTATCTAAAAGTGAGTAGTCAAAGTTGCTTCTGAACTTGCCACTAGGCGAGGAAGTATTGCAATCGTGAAAAATTACGAAAATGAGATATTGTGTTTTCTGATGTTATTTGACAAGTACATTACGAAAAAATGTCACTTATTTTCGTCAGACTGTCTTTGCCAAGGACGAAAAAGATTTGTAGTTTTTGAAAATCGGTCTAGTGGAGGCGGGGGTAGAAAGCCAAAAACGAAAAAATAAAAACCGCTCAAACTTCGTTGTTTAACCTTTCAGAAGGTCCTGATCATTTTCAGAAAATACTTTGTATGGGTCGGATTTCGGGGGTTGGAGGTCGCAGGGTGTGGGGGAGGTTATATGAACTTAGTATATTTCCACGCTCCCAACCCCGGTAATTTAATGCACCAGTTAGTCATATTTCACAACAGATCAAATGTTTGCCGTACATTTGCCTTTAAAAGTTAGTATGATAGAGAAATGAATGATAACTCGCTGCAGCGATGCCAGGTAAACGTTGAAAGAGACAACGTTGCCAGATGGAAGTAACTACCGGTAGAGCATGGAAAGAAGGTCTACGGACCAATTGTATGGGCTGTTTGAGTGACGTAATCCGTTTAATTTCCCTACTGTACATGTCCGTAACTGACTTTTTTTTCGGAAAATTTAAATTGCGCTGAACTTAATCTATGAACCGATGACGGCTGCGTGGGAAGTGCAGAGTCAACCTACTTGACGCCATACTAGTGCAGCTACATACTAAGGAACCTAAATACCGAGGTAGCGATTGCTATCAGGAACTTAAGAAAATCTTGTGCTGATACAAGTAGATAACATGTAACTTATCTCATACAGGGTGATTCACAAGTCGTGAC